TTTAATATTTATATATATATATATATTTTTTTTTTTTTGAATTTTTTATAAGTCTTTTAAATCTCAATTTTTACAATTTATTCAGACCGGTTACTTAATCGGTTGATGATTTGACCAATTTAATTAATAATCCGATTTAATTTTCAAAATTATGATAAAGAACGAGAATTAATTATCTTTAATGATGAAAAAAATTCTTTTTCATAAAAAAGTGTTAGACTACATTGTTAACCGACCTTATATTGTAGCTTCAAAATTGTCTTGTCAAATATTAATCTAGCTCCTTGGACTTAGAATGGGGTCCCTTGTGTCCTTGTCAACCCAATCGTTAACACACCCATGCTAATACTATAAACACACATGACCTACAATCTCAAGGAATGTTCTGAATTGAAAGAAAAACCATGTATCCCGGATCTATTACAGTGAATGATTTTTTCTAAATGTGAGCTTTTGGATAGAATAGATTCAAGATTCAACAGTATAGTTCAGCGCAACAAGCATGACATCCTTTTTTTTACTTGCTCATTATATAGGCAGAAAAATTATTAAGTAATATGAACTACGTGAATGAGATCTTTGATTAGTTTTAGTTTCTACATGAGAAAAAATTAAATATTATTTTTTGTAAATTGAAAATTTAAATACATATTATATATTATTTGACTGTGACTATAAATTAATATTTGTCATAATACTTCGATAATTTCCCTTACAAGTCTTAGATGATGTGGTTGATGTGCGTCGAACGGAACATATCCTTATTAATATTTGTTTCAGCTGTCATAAAGACAGATTCATTAATACAACTTATGTATACAAGGGAAGTATGCAAATTCAAACAACTCAACATATTTTATCCCATTTTCCATCCTTTGTTCGTTGCCCATTTTTTTTGTAAAGTCTCCTCTAAAGATATGTCATGACTCACCTTACTTTAGCACCGAACACTCTTCTTAAAAAAATACCATGGTTTGGACTACTCACCTAACAAAGGTGGTATTAATTTGAATTTTTTATTGGTTTATGTTTACATATAAATGTTATACAAACAATACAATTTTCTTTACAAAATCCAGACAATAGGAAATAAAAAAGAACAAAAAAAGGTGGCCATTAGGAGTAAAACTATATTAATTGAAAATTAAAACACAGAATTAGACAAATACTATGTTTTTAAAATTTGATTCAAGTAAAACCAAATTTAAGAAAATTTCTTAAAAATAATTTTGTGTCCGACTTTTTCCCTAATTTGCTTAAAGTTGCTTTCTACCGTTGTTATATATAAATGTTTTACAAGCGATACTATTGTCAACCATTTTTTGATAAATAAAAGTAATAATCGTTGTAATTTTTAAATTAAAAATGATAGCCAAAATTTGATTAAAATATTAAAATAACATAAAAATGAAAATGTAAGTTTTCTTAAAAAACAATATAGTAATTAAAGAGAGGTGGAGGCAAGGTTATTTAATTTTCTTTTTTCGGTTACTTTGTTTGTTTGTGTGTGTGTGTTTGTATATTGTTGAAAATGATGAGGAAGCGGCTGGTGAACCCTAATTAGTTGTCGGTGTTTGTTGGAAGAGTTCATCTCTGTTTTCTTCGTCATCTTCCCCAACCAGAGATGCGCCCCACAACACCTACATACTAAAGCTTTCATCTTTTCGACACCCCCTCAGGTTTGTTACCTCTTTCACCCTTTTTTCCGTCTTCTTTCCCTCTATACTTGGTTTCAAAGAAAGGGTTTTTGTTTTGGTTCATTTTCTCTCTTTTAATTTACCCCTTTGAATTTTTATTACTATTTTTCTATCTCTAGTTTTTGTAAGAGGGTTCCCTGATCACTGACTTGTAATTGCATTAGATATTCTCTTGAAAATTTTCGTGGTGTTCATACTGGTGTTTTTTGAGTTGGGTTAGTAGAAACTTTGCTAGAGGATTTTGTGTCTCGCCCTCGAATTGGAGCTGGGTTAACAAATTGGATTATAGTGAGTGACCTTTTGAGTTGATTATGCCCGTGCTTGGATTCACATTATTTTAGATAAATGTTCATATGTTTGGTTCCACTTGGGAAATTGATTCTGAGTTTAGAATTGAAGCAATTTGGTAGCTTTTGTGTTGGATAAAAAAAATTATACTGAATTTTACTACTAACTTGTTTTCGGAATAAAAATATCCAAACATAAATTACTTCACTTCAAAACCAATTTTAGTCAAAATTAATTTCATTCGAAATCAATTTTATAAACACTCACCCAAATTCACCCTAAGCTTGAGGATTTGTTCTCTTGGCAGGTATTCGATTAAGTGTTGTTATATTATGATGTTAACATTTTTTGTTCATTACTTAGTGCAACTTGAATTGCATGCACATGTTAGCAAAAGCCCACAATAAAGGGGATGGATCTAAGTCCCTGGCTAAGATACTGGCAAGATGGAAGGAGTATAATGCCCAGCTTGATTCCTGCAATGATGCTGATAAGCCGGTTCGCAAAGTCCCTGCCAAGGGTTCAAAGAAGGGGTGTATGAAAGGTAAAGGGGGCCCTGAGAACTCGCGGTGTAACTACAGAGGTGTTAGGCAAAGGACTTGGGGAAAGTGGGTTGCTGAAATCCGAGAGCCGAATAGAGGGAATAGGCTCTGGCTAGGGACTTTTTCCACTGCCATTGGAGCTGCGCTTGCGTATGATGAAGCAGCGAGGGCAATGTATGGTTCCTGTGCCCGCCTAAACTTTCCCAATGTTTCAGTTTCCAGTTTCTCAGAGGAATCTTCCAAAGATTCTCCAGTTGCGAATCGTTCTGGTTCCTCAATGGCAGTGTCTGCAAATACTGGGTCCATGATTTCACCAAGTAACTCTGGGGGAGGTATCGAAGAGGATATTGATCTGGAGCCCATTTCCTTATCCCTAAGTGTAAAGCATGAGAATGGGGAAGGTGAGTCGGGGGGATAAGTTCGTCCCCTCCTTCTTTGTCATGATGTACATTGCAACATGGCTAAATTTTTTAGCGCATGTACTTGTTAATGGTTAGCTTAGGTTTAATTAGTCTTGATATTTGGTCCTGGAGATTAGCTGTTGTAAAACTGAAATGAACTTGGTTGCAAAGTGGTCATTTCTTCTGGTTTTGGCCTAATGTGCACTGGATATGCAATCTACTTTTAACTCATCATATGTGAATTATACTTACCTTTGTCATGTTAGATTCTTCTTCCTTTTCACCTCTAGTCACCACTCACCACCCTTCTAAATTCATTTGTTATTGTGTCTATTTTACCCTGCATATTATTGTGTGATGTCCTGCTAAACTAATATTATACCATTGAGAATGTGGTTTACTTAATTTTATGAACTTACATTTCTCATGTAAAGTTTCAATTTCCATCACATTGGACTTGCCATGGATGTATAATAGTATATAGTGAATCTCTTGGAAACTAGAATAGTATATAGTGAAACTCCACGAGTATGTAGCTAGGAACATATCAGGAAGTATTTCTGTTGGATTTCCTGCTTTTTTCAATCAACATGGATGCGAATCTCAATATTTTATCATAATCAAGCATATTGAATTGAAAGAGAAAACACAGATATAAGACAACAATTTTTGAGAGCGGGAGAATGGGAAGATTCATGACCATCAAGTTAAGACTTGTGGAGTTTTATTTTATGTCAGAAAATATTTGTTGTGCTGTCTTCAGTGATCCACTTCTCAGAATCTAATAATGCTAGTACTAGGTATATTTTCTTTCATTTATATTAATGAAAATCTTCGAGATAAAGGTGGTTTATGACAATTTCGAAAGGTTTCTTATATGCAGGCGACAGTTTCTATATTAGATGTGGAAGTGTCAATTTGGATGAATATAAAGACATGAGATTTTGGAAAATCAACATTTTCTAAAATATCTGTTCCATTTCAACATTATCCGTGCACTATTTTTTTGGCCAAACAGAAAGGTGACTATTTGGGCCAAACAGATATATTTCTCGATTTTTATTTCGTCAATTCTTAGTTTTCTGATCATTCATTGTAAAAATACTGTTATCGATATTTTCATTCTTATTAATGCTTTAGTTTCTGTTTATTCTTCTGATTTTTAATGTAAATTTTTCAAAAGTGTTTTTATATGTCTATTTATTCAGAAATTAAAGAGAACAATAGTTATTATCTTGGTATTCTTTTATTGGTAGTGTAGAGTCCTATTAAAAAATCATGGAGGGAATCTAATGGAGATTAAGTTAAAAATGATTTTGGCAACTCTTCTTTTTCATAAAATTTAATTTTTTATTCTTTAATCAGACAATTACTAACATTCTAAATTAGCACGATAATTAGAATATATATTTTTAATCGACGCATTAGTTTGATAATGATTATGGATGTGGTTCAGCTCCTTTTGGGCCTTGAAATGAGCTGCTTGCTGTGATTCATTTTCCAATGCTCTCAATATAGTTGGTTCTGCCTTCAATTAAAAGTCTTTGCGTAATGGAAACTGGTTTTAAAACTTAGGTTAAATTATTTTTTTTCTCTATTTATTTTTAGGATTTGATTTAATTTAATATTTTTTAATTTTTTTAATTTAGTTCTCCAACTTTTTTAAAAAAATATTTAATGTTCTTTCGTATTTTTCTAATGTTTCAATGAAAAATTCTAGTTCATTAACTCTTTTTTTTTTCCTATTTTTTTACAGTTATTTTGTTTATATTTTTCATATTAATATTAAAGCTATTTTTTTCTCATAATTATAAGAATTTATCATTTGTTACGTATAATGATAAAAAAAATATTTTTGAAATCTTAACTATATCAATAAGAACTAGGAACTTATGTTATTTACATTTTGGATGAATCCAATATGTCTTAAATAGATTTGGCCTACTTCAATCTATAAATTACCGGATTCAATTCAATTTAAAGGTGTGTTAGAGCCTAAAAATTGATCCAATCAAAATTTAGGGACAATTAAGAACAAACATATATCGATCTTAACCACTTTCACTCATCCCTAATGTTCATTATTATTAATGAAGAATTTTTCGCTTAGACAGAAGACGATGAATCTTAACTATTTGATGATTTTTATAAAATTAACTGTCTTTTTTCATGCAAAGTGTACTAATAGATGGATACAATAAATTATATCTGACGAAAAAGTGATATTAAATTATTATCTTGCTTTTAATCAAAAGATCTCAATATAAATGTCACGTAATTGCATCGAAAAATTATGTTTACAACATAAAATAGTTATCAATGGTGTGTAAGTGAGTTAGGGAGGGTTATTATGTTTAATAAGAACTCTACATCTCATAAAACATGTTTGGATATGAGTTTAGTAGAACCTTTAATTTTTTTTTTTAATTAATACATACTCTTTATCTTCAATAAAAAAAATTTAAAAAAATCTTTTGAATTGTATTTAAACAGACTCATATTGTGTAACTGACATGTTCCAATTAAGTTAAATGTTTAAATAAATACTGATAGTTCTCTCTCTCTTTATATATATATATATAAAGAGAGAGAGGGTTATACTAACACCGATGTAACTTTTACTAAGTATTACACACCGCTCAATAACTTTATATTAAATGTGAATTTTGTAAATTCAACCGTTAGATTACTATAAAAATATAATAATATATAATAATT